TTCGGCATTGTATCGATTAATTACCAAGGATAGTTGTTCAGACGGTTCGAAAACTGTATTGTATATGTACACAACGATGCGTGAAATTCAAAAGGTACTTACTTGTATAGCTGGTATGGTCAATTTTCGGAAACGACGTGTAAAATTCACTTATATCACCGTCACTCACAAAACAATAATCACGTCGGGGTCACCAATAATGGGACTAGTGATAGGTGAATTATTTAATTTACACACGACGTTTATCAATGATGAATTTTATTAACACAACTAACACGATCACAAACAAGCACAAAATATGCAAGTACCACGTGGCTTCAAAAGACTTGAATTGAACTGTTTCACTTTTCACAAGAACGAGATGTTGCTCGCTTGACGATTTGAACTGCCTTTCCACGGTGACAAATCTAGAATTTCAGTCCTGCCAACACAAATTTAGAGTATTCGACCACTCGATTCTAGAGTGTTCGATTACAGTATTCGATTTGGATGACTGCTTAACAATAGAGAAATGAAATGTTTTTGAACTAAGTAGTTGTTGGAGAAGTCCCTACAATCTGAACAGTCTCATGCGAATGGGGTGTGTCTAAAAGAAAGATCAACTAATTAGTTTCGACGTGGAAAGCCTTTACATCAACGTTCCGGTCGAAGAAGCACTCCAAATCATACAGACGAAGCTATTCGAAGACGGGAACCTACAGAAGTAATTATGGAATCACTAGGATGCTGTGTACGAAACTGTTATTTCCAACTGAAGGACGAATTCTTTACACAGGATGAGGGACTGCCAATGGGATCGCCACTTTCACCAGTCATAGCCAACATATATATATGGAGTGGTTTGAAACTCTGGCCATTGAGGGAGCCCCCAATAAACCTCGAGTCTGGTTGAGATATGTTGACCACACCTCCATAATATGAAACCATAGTAATACTGAACTAGATGCCTTCCTGAAACACATCAACAGCGTGAGACCTTCCATCACTTTCACAATGNTTCCCGATTCCTTAAAATTTTTCCTATGATAGCGTTGGTTATAAAAATTTACGGGTTCCGTTTTTATGTTCGTACCAATGGACGCTTCTCTGGAATGATGTTCACTAATTGCTGACTCCTTTGCCAAAGCCAATTTAACCACTAATTTGAACGTTACTGAATCTGCAGTTGCATCCTCTTCAAAAAGTCGATCCATAATTTTAGGATTATTCATCCCAAGAACGAAAATGTCCCTCATAACTAAATTCAATTCAGTCCCAAACTTACAAGTTGTTGCTAAACTTTTAACTCTGGCCTCCCATTCGGCCACACTTTCTTCTAATCCACGTTTTGCGGTGTAAAATTTCAGTCGTTCCGAGAAATATGATTTTACTGGCGAAAAATGTTCAGTTAACAATTCCACCAAATCGTCGTACGTTTTTGCATCCGGTAAATCCGGTACACACAAATTTCTTACAAGTATGTACGCTTCTTCATTTAGCGTATTTAAAAGAATAGCTTTCTTGCGATCCTCATCATTTATTTTGTTCGCCACAAAAAATTGTTTAAGTCTTTCTTTGAACACTGAAAAGTTAGAGTTTTTCGGGTCGAATGTATTAAGTGATCCGAGCAGTCCCCATGTTTCTGGCATGTTGATATTATGATCAATTGCATTAACGTAACTAATTAGTGCTATATTTCGCGTAAGAACAAAACTCCTCGTCGCCAATGTTATAAACTCGGTCAAGGTCAACTGAATAAAACAAGCAACTGTCTGCTATCGTTGTTATTTTGGTACTACTTTATTGTGTTTCACTCAAATCATTTGAGATATAAAAACTGCAAAGCTTTTTACCTGAACGTATAATACAGGGTGAAACCTACGGGCATATATAAGCGATGGAAGAAAAGACTTTGGCTAAAAGACAGCAGGAGCCCCGCAAGGAAGAGAAGCCGTCACAATCAGTGCTTGCACTTCTCTACATCAGGGGATTTTCGGAGAGCATAAGAAGAATTGGTTCCAAGTACAACATCAGAATTTGATTCAGATCCGGTAACATTATCCGTAGCAGCCTCACGAAATCCAGGCCACCAAACGCGGACTGCGATTCCAAGAATTGCATTTACCGGAAATTTCTATATCGGTGAATATTTACGTGTTGTCCAACAACGTATTCAGCCAAGCTAGCGTAGAGATACGCAACATATGGAAACCCATCATCACGCAAAAAATGGCCAACTCCCGCCAAACGGTCGTTTCCCACTGAACCAGTGAAGCGGAAAATGGAAAGCGGGGATAAGTGAAAGTATTCGAACGATCCATAAATAGTCATCTCTCGGAGGAATCAGTCCAGTCATTACCCGAAGACGATCGTAGATACTAACAATCGAAACGTCGTGAACTAACTTGTCTTGGAATCACTTAACTTTTTATTTTTTGTTCAATTGTCCTATTTTTACTTGTATTTTATTTGACTATCATTTCATTTCAGTTTTTTTGCTAAATATAATTGTTATTTTCAGCTATTCTTTTTTAAAATTTTTCAGTTTTTTCAGGGATTTCAAGTCATTTTATATATTAGACGATGGAAGTCCGAACTAGTGAAATTCATCATGAAACATTGTCACATCACACAAAATGGCTGCCTATAACGCATTCATATATAGAATGTTAAGGATACCACTCAGCAATGAAGCCCGAAACAAAGAACGGGAAGTCATATACCAAATAGCGAACGAAAACGGATACACCCAAAAGACAATAGATAAACTAGAAAACAGAATCAAACAAAAAATACAGAACAAGGATCAAGCCACCCCAACAGACAAAACAACACAACGATGGACAGCATTTACGTACGTAGGAAACCAAACCAAAAAACTAACAAACGTCTTCAAACCACTGAACATCAACATCACATACAAGCCAAACACGAAGATAACACAAAAAATAAACAACTATGAAAAAGAAGAAGACAAATACCAAAACGGGATATACAGTATACAATGCTCGGACTGCAACAAATTATATATCGGCCAAATCAAGAAAAAACTGATCCAAAAGTACGATAAACACAAAAAGGCATACATAAACCCAATATTATATAAATCAAACCTCATAACACACGCCATACAAAATAAACATAACTTTTCCCCCACCAGAGAACATAAAACTCATAAAATAAGTCAATAAGGGAAACCGCATGAACATTTGGGAAAACTTAAACATCCATAAATTTAACAGTCAAGAATCACTTATCGAGGAACAAGTACAAATCAAAACACAACAGGACCTAACATTCAGTATATTAAACAAATCAATATACACTCCTAGAAGCAATTAACCTGGAGAAGATTTAACACAAAGAATAGTACCTGATATAATCCAAATACAGGCAAATTTATCTAAAGCAACAGAAGTACCTGATTTGAGGCATTCGGAACGTATAAAAAGACACATAACAGGCTAACACGTTCAGATAGAAGAGTGCCTAGAAGATGACAGCACGACCAGCTGTCGAAAGCGCTCGCAGATAATCAAATGGAAGTCATAGAACTTCAAATCCTTTTTGTAACTCACATTAATAGTAAAATACTGAAAATAAAGGAAAAAATAGATGCATCATCCAAAAATATATATATAGAACTATACAAATAGTGGGGCTTAGCAGCAAATAAAAGAGTACTCTTTAAAGTTTGTCCAAGCTTTCGGAAATTTGATAAATTGTTTTTATCATCAGGGATGCTACAAAATTGTGAGTGTATGTAATATTGAGATATAAATGAATGATTAGACTTACAACTTTTTTGAGGATGTTTATCACTACAACCACGGACATATGTCATGTCAACTGTCTGTCAATCCTAACCAAAAGAAACGTTTTGTGAAATTTCGACATGTGACATTATCTTCTATCAAAACAATTTTAAACTGTAACGTTTTGCATCAAATTTTTTATCCAATATTAGACATCCTTTAGCCATTTTTAGAAATGTATTGTATCAATGTTCATCCAACACTTTGTGTCCAATATTTTACGCAACCATCGTATGAAACATCCTTCAGGTACAAACTAAATGTGATAATCTCATTAAAGACCTTTTCATTTCCAAACGAATACTTAGATGGAATTCCGAAAAAGAAATCGACATCATGTACAGGAGTTATTCCGAAATTATATGCATTACCCGAAATCCACAAACCCATTCTTTCAGTGAGACCTATCATTGCCTCCATGAATAATTCTACTGAACTGTTGGCATCTTTCTTGGCAGACATTTTGACAAAAGCATATGATATGAAAATCCATATTATACAAAAATACTCTTTTGAAGTTTCCTCAAAATTTGATAAAATCCAACTACCTGAAAATTACATGCTGGCAAGTCTGTATGTAGTTTCCTTGTTCAGTAACGTTTATCTTGATATTTGTCTGAGATCCGTTCAAAAAATTTGGTACCGAATTAAAAATTATTGCAATATACATGAAAATGATTTCAAACGCCTCTCATTTCTTTTTAATAATATATATTTCTCCTTCAATAACAAAATATACAAATAAATTTTTGGAACTCCAATGGGAGCAAAAATAAGCCCAATTTTGGCTAACTATGTAATGCAGCTACAGCTTTGACCAATATACATATAGTATCCTGAATACATTGCCCTCAGATAAAATAAATGAAAGATCAAATCTGATGTTACCGTTAGTCAGCAACAGTATTTCTATACTCTTCTAATTGATTCTACAATCCCATCTGAATCATGTAGTTTTAATTTTTTAAAGTTAATTAAACACTTTTGCTCATCAAATTTTCTCACAAAGAAACTGTCAATGCTCGTGTTTCCACGAAATATAATGAATTGGATACAATACTATATGAAAAACAGAGAAATGGTTGTAATCTGCAACGGATCGACATCTAAGTCAAAAACGGTAAAACTCGGGTTGCCACAGGGCTCTGTTCTAGGACCTCTACTGTTTCTTCTCTGAGTCAATGATCTTCCTCAACATATAAAGGTAGGGGCTACGTCAAAATGTTTGCTGATGATACAATGATAACTATAGTCGGCAATACTGCTGGGAAACTCATCAGCAAATCTGAACACATTACTGATCAGTTCAGTACCTGGTGCTAAAGAAATAAGCTCATTCTAAATACTTCAAATCGATCAGTGTTAACTTCCACCTCAGAAGAAATATTCCAATAGGTTTACGCTCTAGCTATGATATTAAAACTTCTGAAGAAATAAAATGTTTAGAGATCTGCCTAGACGGCAATCTAAATTGGGATAGGCAGGTGGACTACATATGTGCTAAGTGCAATAGAGCATGTTATGCCATAAAACAGCTGAAATCCTGTTTGGATGAAACTAGCTTACTCAGCATATATTATGCCATGGCCTACCCTCATATAAGTTTGAATATTATGGCTAGGGGCAGAGCTAGGGATTTTTCCAGAGTCTTTATAGCACAGAAACGCATCATAAGGCTAATCTTCAATATGGATTTCCGGAATAGCTGCCGGCCCGTTTTATAGACAAAAACATATTGACAGCCCCTACCATTTACATTCTTAAATATATTCTATTTGTTAAGCAAAACCATAAATTATATGATAAGACTGCTTCAGAACACAGTCATAATACAAGAAATGGTGTTCTTCTAAAAATCCCACAGCATCTCATGACAAGCTATAAAAATTCCCCTCAGTATAATGCCATTACGTGCTTCAATAAGCTGCCAAATGAAGTTAAAAAAATCACAAGTGACAAGGTATTCCATGATTATGTTAAAACTATGCTTTTAGAAAGAGGCTATTACAGTTACCAAGATTTTTTAATTGACAATCTCACAAACAATCAAATTCACAGTGGACGAAATTTTATTTAGATTAAATTATGTGAATGATGTAAAATGTTTAGTTAATTTGAGGGCATCTATGCTTACTTGTATATGTGTGTATA